AACCACTACAACACAACCTAAGGTATGTTGCACAAAGTAAGCATTAAGCAAAGTAGAGAAGATAAATATATTAAATAAAGGAAAGTCTTACTAGAAAGGGAAATGATAGAAGAGCTACATCAGACTCCTTAAAAGACTAATTTGGGAAACCCGAGACTAGCTCACTACTCACTTTAGCTCCAACACTAGACTTTCCTACTACATACAAAGAAAATGGTGGAGCTTTCTACTTCTTGGAATGTTGATCATGTCTTGTAAGTGAGGGGGTACCACCTATTTATAGTGGTGGATGAGGGCCCATGAATCCAAGTGCTTCACACCTCATCCTTTGGATCAAACCACCATAAGATGGATGGCGAAGATCCCACACACATGTGTTTCCTTGAATGTTGACGAAGAGACATCGGTGGAAGAAATCTAGGGTGGTTTAGCCGCCAGCAGGGTCGGCCGACCCCTTAACAGGTGGGCCCTCCCCACTTTGTGGGTAGGCTTGGTCCATCCTCCTTATGCATGTAAATGATAGCGGGGCCAATTCGATGTTTCCTGTACGTGACGTGTGGGCCCGTCAATTCTTGTGAGTTGCGCATCTACCATCCAGAGAAAACAACTTCCATTCAAGGGATAGAAATGTATAGGAGTGTGCTTCCTTGACTTTCACCATGATTGAGGGCATGTGGGCCAGCCAGGAGGGTCGCTCAACCCTAGGGCTGCCCCACCTAGTCCCACTTTCTTCCATTTTCCTTCTACACGTGAAACGACAATACAAGTGGAACTTTGTTATTTGAATAAAATATGCTCATGACATGCCCATTTTCTTTTATTCCAAGGTATCTTAATGGTTTCAAGATGTAAAATAATGTAATTTTTTCCATCAACACTTTGCATATACCATAAAACAACCCCGATAGATTACTCCAATAGAGATAGCATCTGTCGAGGTACAAGTGGAGAGAGTGCCAAAAGACCTGGTGCTTCCCCGACTTCCCCTCACTCTCTACCTGTTCTCTAATACCACTAGAGTGGTAGAGCTGTGCCTAGATATATATCAAAGTGAGAACTTCTCTATGTTATATTTACATGTGAGGTGTGCCTCTCTATTTATAGTGAAAAAGTAGGCCCATCAATCCATGGGGGATCAATAGGAGCACCCACGGATCAAACCCACATCCATTTCACACCTACTTGTGGTCATAAATGTCCTCTTTGCATGTTGGAAAAGTTGAGGCAGATTTGGCTCAAGTGGATGTTGGGTGACCATGGTGGGTCGGTTGACTCCCAACTAACCTTTGGGCCCTCCATCTTCTGTGCGGAGCGAGGTCCAATGGTCATGGATGTGCTTCGATGCATTTGCTCAATGTCGATTATGTGGTGGGTCCATGAATCCATGTGATGCACATTTTGAGCCATCGATCATCAACCGACGTACAAACAACAGTGGGATATGGTAGCAACAATGTTTCTTTACTGTGGATCGAAGATGGCATGGGTTGGTGATGTGGAGGCATCGGGCGATGCCTAGGGTGGTCGAGCGGCTCCCTGTTGGGCCCATTTTGTCTCAACTTTGACTGGTGGGTCCCTGCATGTTAGTATTGCTCACATTTGCATGTATGCCATTTTTGGAGCATTTTAAGTATAGGGTATGATATTATTCATTTCAAATGTTGACTTAATTGACGGTTGGATTGATCATGTAATGACTGTCAAAATCTACCCTCTTCTAGTCCAAATGACAGGAACATATGGTTGGCACCTCTCACGGTCGGAGCGAGAGATTCTAGAGACCTATCCCAATTACCAGTGCATGCCAGTGATCAGGATGGAATATATTACAATGATGGCACAATAGAGAGAAGAAAAAAATCTAATTGACTGACTGCCTTAAGCATTGCTGATCGAAGAGACCATGACGCCTAAGAGGGAGAGTGAATTATGCTTTTTGAAAAACTACTCTAAACTATAGCTTCTAATTTTCACCTAGTCAAAACCTATCCAAGAAAGTAATCTATCTCGATGTGCAACTAAGGTTTTACTAGGTGTGTTATTGTCTCTACCACAATAGAGTTACACAACCTATGTTCCAATCCTATCATTAGCCTAGCAAGCTAAACTAGAAAAGTAAAGCACACAGCTTAAGTACACAAATTAAAGCGCAGAAGGTTAATTGAGATAGAGATGCAAACTCTCATCAATGACTCCGGTGTTTTTACCGAGGTATCGAGAAGCTCCTCGCTTCCTCCTAGTTCTCGTTGGAGCCCCTCGCAAGGGCTAAGCTCTTGGTCGGGTAACTCCGTAGATAGCCCTTGGGTCTTCCTCCTGCATAAGTAGATCTCTGAGATGGCCTCTCCCGGCTATCTTCACTATTGAGCTTTCTGCAAAACACCGCGGGTCTCGTTCCCTCTGGTACCCGGTGGCTATCACACCACAAAAGTAGTTGGTGTGATCTCACAAGAATTAAAGCCCCTCCAAGTATAAAGATGGTGCTCTCAAGAACTAAGTGGTAAGAGATATGCAAACCTTACTAAGGCACTAGGCTTAAATCTATAACAAGCGCATAAGATGTAGTCTAACTAACCTATGGACTTTGCAAAAGCATCTACGCTAATCACTTAGTGAATCCTGATGCACTTTGCTGGCTATAGCAATTAGATATTAGCCTCAGCTCACACTACACTTCCTTGAGCTCTACACCCCCCTCAAATGCCTTGCCAAAGGGGTATTTATAGCCCCCAACCATCAAACTAGCAGTTGGGGCTAAACTTTAGTCTCCTACCCTGTTTGGTTCCAGGGACTAACTTTAGTCTCCTACCTTGTTTGGTTCCAGGGACTAAAGGGGACTAAAAGGCTTTAAAGCTATTGAACAAAGACTAAAATACCCTTCTTGAGGGGCATGGGCTGGTTGGGGACAGTAATTATTCAGGGGCATGGGGTGTCAACTTGGTCCATTAGTCCCAAAAAGCCTCACCCAAAGGGACTACAGCCCACTAGTCTCTAGTCCCTTTAGTAGTCCCTCCTGTTTGGTTAAAATGGACTAGAATTTAGTCTCTAGTCTGTAGTCCCAAGGAACCAAACAGGCCCTGCCTCTGCGCACTCACCGGATGATTTGGTGGTGCCACTGGACTAATCTGGTGCCTATCCGAGAGCTAGACATTGGAGTAGCACATGGTCCTGTGCACATTCTCCCGTACCATCGGACTAATATGGTGAGTATATTTCTGCCGGTTCTAGTATTCATCCTTCATCGGACTTGATCTATTGATCCGGTTCTTGACACCAGACTAATAAGGTGTAGTAATCTGCTCTCTATAACCTCTCTGGTGGCCACCTATTTCTCCAATGCTGGTCTTCTGGTTACACCGTACTAATTCGATGAGTAGTACTCCTTTTTGGTGAACGGTGATAGCTTATATATACTCCCGTGATGCCCTCTTGTGAGCACCGGGCTAATCCGGCCGGTGGGTATCAAAGCCCTAGCCCTGCACTGGAGTGACCATTTGCTCCAGTGCTACCTTCTTTTGAGCACCAGACTAATCCGGTGATGCTGAAACAGCAACAGCAACAGTTGGCTTGTTTCTTCATGATCTTCTTGCCCGGGTCGCTTCCACCATGTGTCTTGGATTTCATGCATCTCTTGTGAGTCTTCAACATGTCTTTTGATGTGTTTCTTGAGGTGTTGATCATCCGGATCACCACTTTGCCTAATACAAGTCCACTTGCATCCATTTGAACTATTCCTTGTGTACTAGCAAACAAATTAGTCCAAGTAGTCATGTTGTTCATTAAACACCAAAATCCATGTTAATGGCCTATAGGATCCCTTTTCCTTACAATTCCTAAACCTAGAGGCTCCCTATATAGTATAATTCCGGTGTGCCTTTCCCGTGATGAGCCATAGCGAGTACAAGTGTTGAACCCCTACAACTATATAAAGGGCGTACCCAGTGCAGAGAGCTCCCGCTCTGTGCGGGGTCTGGGGAAGGGTGTCAGTGGCAAGCCTTACCCTCGCCTGTGCAATGCGAGGAGACCGCGACTCGAACCCGGGACCTTCCGGTCATAGGCGGTAAGACTCTACCGCTTGCACCAGGCCCGCCCTTCAGAACCCCTACAACTATATCACGTAGCAATATTGTATTAATTAATCTTGCACTTTCACCTCGACTCGTCTGGTCATGGGTCTAAATATTAAAGCCAAGAGAAACAAACAAATGAACCTTTAAAATTTATTAAAATTTTTACATATGAACTTAGGCTAGTCTCGGTGGAAATTTCATCTCAGTTTCATGAACATTTAATAGGCTGTCACATAATCATTTCTAACGACACGTCAACATTTTTAAGAAGAGAGGTAAGAATAGTTGAGTTTCATGTGGATGAAACTCAGTGGGTTTCCAACTACAGATGAGTCATGGAATTAAATGTCAATAAAATAATAGAATAGGACCGTACATTAAGGGTTTACGAGTCGAGCATCCCATGCGGATTCTGATGCGCATCAGGTTCTGCATGGCCACTGAGCATGAGTCTGCCACCCGCCTACTCCTCTGCAACCATTATCGGCCCTTAGATTCTTGTTGGATGGTAGATACAAGGAACTAAGTTACGTCGTGACTTGGAGAGGCTAAGTTACTGAATCCAGCTCTAATTTATCCATCTTTTATTTCATTTTATATGATATGACAGTCTTCAAAACCATGTCATGAAACTCTCCACAGAGAATAGCTTTAGGGGCGTCTAGCCCACATCTAAAATCTAACATAATGCACCGGACTGCCGCTGTGCCGCAGATAAGCCCCTCCCGACAGCAAAATCCCCATACGAAGCACTAGTTGATAAACCAATCACAAAACATGTGGCCATTCCCAATTCCCAATTTCAAATAAAGCTTCTCACCAGCGATTAGGCTCCCTAATAAAGAAGATATGCAGCAGCTCCCCTTTATCTAAAAGACTTAGCTAATATATTCTGGCGGTTATACATGTTCTTAAATTCCTTGTTTGGCGCAGCCAGTGGTGACCAGCACATATCCTCGTCGAACACCTCCAGTGGCTTCGGAGCCATCTAGGGGACGTGGTCAGAGCGTCAGCGGTACCACAGAACCACTGGGTATGTATACCACAAAGCTTTATATCATGTCCATCTATCTATATAAAACTTAAAGGTGGAGATAATTTTCATGTTCATAAACAGTGTTCCCTGTAGATCTACAATGTTAAAATTTAGTTTTTTCCCTCTTGGTCACCTAAATAAAGGTTTTGTTTGAATTAAATGGTCTAAAGTGTAGTTAGACCATATCACCTCCTGATGCTTCAATTCATGCAAATTAATGATCTAAAATGTTGTCTAAAGTTTAGCCAACCTTATAAAAAAATCATTAGTTTATCAGACCACATAAGTGAGCTAAAGTGGTCTAAAATTTAGCTCTTAACTTTAGCCAACTAAATTTTAGACCAAAGGATTTAATAAAGATCTAAAATGTACTACCTTCTCGCTAAAAGAATTTAGGATACCATCTTTATTTGATTTAGTTTGTCAAGAAATCGTAGCTTGATCCATGTTAGCACTTTTCCAATGAGCCGGCGCGAAGCGGAGTTCCTGCTAGTTTGTCAGAAACTCATGTCTGCTTAACTTGTTAGATTTTTTTGCAAAAGGAAAATTGACTCTCCATATTATATAATGGTTTGAACCACATAGAAGTTGCTTTATCGACGGGAGAGATTAATGTATATACATTGGAAGAAAGTGCATATTTCAGATATATTTTTATTTAACATGTTTGGTAACAACACAAGGAGTTTATGCTTGTACACACTGAAGATGACCTTTGCCAAAAAAAAAAAAGATCCACCAATTAGTCGGACAAGCAAATTTTGAATAATTTTATACTTCTTTACTCCCTACATCTTTAAAGAAACTACATGTTGTGCACTAATCTCCAAACATGGAAAAGATGATTAGATCTATCGTGATGAATATGAAGGCGCAAACGGGACACCGGAGGCACAATCACTAGGACAAGGAGTTGTGTGATTGTGTCCATCAAGATTCTGCTATCCAGACCTCAGATTTGCAATAGCAGAGCTAGTAGCAGATTCCACGGCCTGGCTCGGGGCGTTGTTGGATAGTTATTTTTTTGAGCCAAGGTTATTTCGGATAATTGTGCTGGAGCTGTATCATTGTCTGTCTAGCAACATCCTCTCATTGCCACCAGTTTCTCTCGCAAAATTCTACCGGGATCGGAGCATCTCCCTAGACCATCGCTTTGTGGCGGATTCTGCTGTCTGGCAGCCAGCTAGCTGCTGCCTTGGTTGCCTCTCCCTGGCATCTCTTCATGAAGAATGAGACAGCCTGGGGCAGCTTCCATATATTGTAGCGAGAAATTGTTTTTCTTTCTCCACTCAAAATAGATTACTAGGAGCTAGCCAGTGAAATCATTATTTTTTATTTCACTAACTGCGGCTTCTTCACACAATGTAGCAAGAATTTCATTTAACACCGTATACAATTAAAAAACATAGATTGTATCTTTGGGTAGATACGTTTTTTTTGAAGATAACAGGAGAGGTTGTCCTTTACTAGACGACGACGACGACAACAACAACAAAGCCTTTAAGTCCCAAATAAGTTGGGGTAGGCTAGAGTTGAAACCCAGCAGAAGCAATCAAGGTTCAGGCACGTGAATAGCTTTCTTCCAAGCACTCCTATCTAAGGCTAAGTCTTTGGGTATATTCCATCCTTTCAAGTCTCCTTTTATTGCCTCTACCCAAGTCAACTTCGGTCTTCCTCTGCCTCTCTTCACGTTACTATCCTAGCCTAGGATTTCACTACGCACCGGTGCCTCTGGAGGTCTCCGTTGGACATGTCCAAACCATCTCAACCGGTGTTGGACAAGCTTCTCTTCAATTGGTGCTACCCCTAATCTATCACGTATATCATCGTTCCGAACTCGATCCCTTCTTGTATGACCGCAAATCCAACGCAACATACGCATTTCCGTGACACTTATCTGTTGAACATGTCGTCTTTTCGTAGGCCAACATTCTGCACCATACAACATAGCAGGTCTAATCGCCGTCCTATAAAACTTGTCTTTTAGCTTCTGTGGTACCCTTTTGTCACATAGGACACCAGATGCTTGGCGCCACTTCATCCACCCTGCTTTGATTCTATGGCTAACATCTTTATCAATATCCCCATCTCTCTGTAGCATTGATCCTAAATATCGAAAGGTATCCTTCCTAGGCACTACTTGACCTTCCAAACTAATATCTTCCTCCTCCCGAATAGTAGTGCCGAAGTCACATCTCATATACTCAGTTTTAGTTCTACTGAGTCTAAAACCTTTGGACTCCAAAGTCTTCCGCCATAACTTTAGTTTCTGATTCACTCCTGTTCGGCTTTCATCAACTAGCACTACATCGTCCGCGAAAAGCATACACCAAGGGATGTCCCCTTGTATGTCTTTTGTGACCTCATCCATTACTAAGGCAAACAAATAAGGGCTCAAAGCTGACCCTTGATGTAGTCCTATCCTAATCGGAAAGTCATTCGTGTCTCCATCACTTGTTCGAACTCTAGTCACAACATTGTTGTACATGTCCTTAATGAGCCCGACGTACTTCGTTGGGACTTTATGTTTGTCCAAAGCCCACCACATAACATTCCTTGGTATTTTATCATAAGCCTTCTCCAAGTCAATAAAAACCATGTGTAGATCCTTCTTCTTCTCTCTATACCGCTCCATAACTTGTCTTATTAAGAAAATGGCTTCCATGGTTGACCTTCCGGGTATGAAACCAAATTGGTTCATAGAGACCCGCGTTATTGCTCTCAAGCGATGCTCGATAACTCTCTCCCATAGCTTCATAGTATGACTCATCAACTTAATTTCTCGGTAATTAGTACAACTTTGAATATCCCTTTTATTCTTGTAGGTCGGTACCAATATACTTCTCCACTCATCAGGCATCTTGTTCGATCGAAAAATATGGTTGAACAGCTTGGTTAGCCATACTATAGCTATGTCCCCGAGACATCTCCACACCTCGATTGGGATACCATCCGGTCCCATCGCCTTACCTCCTTTCATCATTTTCAATGCCTCTCTGACCTCGGATTCTTGGATTCTCCGCACAAAACGTCTATTGGTGTCATCAAAAGAGTCATCCAACTGAAAGGTTGTGTCCGTATTCTCACCATTGAACAATTTGTCAAAATACTCTTGCCATCGATGTCGGATCTCATCCTTCTTCACCAAGAGATGCTCCCTTTCATCCTTAATGCACTTAACTTGGTTGAAGTCCATTGTCTTTCTCTCACGAACTCTAGCCATCCTATAAATATCCTTCTCTCCTTCCTTCGTACTCAAACGTTGGTAAAGATCCTCGTACGCTCTACCCTTTGCCACACTTACCGCACGTTTTGCAGTCTTCTTTGCCACCTTGTACTTCTCTATGTTGTCCAGACTCCTGTCCTGGTACAAGCGTCTATAACACTCTTTCTTCTCCTTAATAGCCCTTTGGACTTCCTCGTTCCACCACCAAGTATCTTTAGCCTCGCCTCCTCTTCCTTTGGTTACTCCAAACACCTCTGAGGCCACCTTCCGAATGTTGGTTGCCATCTTCTCCCACATGTTGTTTATGTCTTCTTCTTCCTTCCAAGAGCCCTCTTTGATAACCCTTTCCCTGAATACCTCTGACTTCTCCCCTTTCAGTTTCCATCATTTTGTTCTTTCAATCTTAGCTTGTTTATCCCTACGGGCACACACCTGAAAACGAAAGTCTGCTACCAAAAGCTTATGTTGAGAAACAACACTCTCCTGGTATCACCTTGCAACCCAAGCATGCTCGTTTATCCTTTCTTCTTGTTAGGATAAAGTCAATCTGGCTAGAGTGACCGTTGTCCTTTACTAGACTTTATTAAAAAAAAAAAACTAAAGAGAGTGCAAGGTGGTTTCTGGTAGATACGATTGTGGGAGTTTAAAAAAGAAGATACGATTGTGGGACGAAATCCAATATTTTGGACAAAAAAAAAAAATATGGGCGACACCACAGCGCCACACACCACACAGAAATGCCGACAAGCTCAGTGGAGTCAACCTTTAGTTTCTTGTTATGCCCAGCGGTTTCACACTAGTGTGATGAGAGCTCGAAGCAACCGTGTGGACCCCTGATGGCGATGTTGACCCGGTCAAATTTGGGCGATGCTGATCTGGCCTGCCTGTGATTCCTTGCGCTAAACTGCTCTGCCTTCTGCTACGCACAGGCGGCTACTTCGTCGGCCGTCCGGCCAACTACGAGGACAAACAGCAAGATGCCGCCGATGCACTGAACAAAAAGAGCGCTCCTGCTGGTAGGTGACGCCGGCGCGAAATTCGCCAGATCCACTCAATTCTCCCTCCTACCGAATTACATGGTTGATGGTTCTTTCGCTACCCGTTGGTGCTGGTGCAGGCTACTACTCCGGCCCTCCCGCCGCGCCGCACGACAAGCACAAGGCGCCGCCGTCCGAGTCCGAGCCCGTTGACGGCCAGGTCATGGTCTCAGTCCCTGGTGCGTGCACTACCTACAGATCCGGAGATCCAAGCGTTTCTTCTTCTCCTAAAAATTCCTCGTTTCGTTTCTCTCCAATCACGTTTGGTTTGCGCGGCTAGTGTCTGTTGACTGTTAGTAATAACGGACCTTCGCGTTTGGCAAGAGCAGGCGGCTACTACTCCGGCGGCCCTTCGAAACTTGGCGCCGGCGGCCAGGGCAGCTCCGCTGCTCCTAAGGAATCGGGCTTCTTCGCCAGCTGGTGAGCATTCAGAGCTCAAATGATCAAATTAAATCTAGTCGCTGTTTCCTGCTCTTTTGATTTCACTTGATTATTCCTTCGCTGATGGCTCCCCGTTTGTTGTATGATGTATCATCAAGCTGTGCGTGCTTCTACCGCGGCGAAACCGCAAGATAGATTCTCAGTGCTGGACCGAGACCGAGAGGACCATGGATGGCAGATATGGCAGTGATTGTGTTGGGTCGACGCAAATTTGTTCAGATTTATTTTCTTTGAAAATTGAAATAAATATTTTCGGCAGTGGCGTTTTCAATTTGTACAAGCGTTGTATGCACTATGCAGAAGCAGAGTCAATGAAAAGTACTCCGCATGATACAACTGTGCTTTGCTTTGATATGAAAATCAGGGAGTCTCTCATACAGTTTACCTTTTGAAGAAATTTGTTCAGATTTATTTTCTTTGAAATATATATTTTCGGCAGTGGCGTTGTCAGTTTGTACAAGCATTCTATGCACTATGCAGAAGCACATAGCAGAAGCGGCTGCAGCTGCAGCCGAACAGCCCCAAAATCAGGTAGTCTTTCATACAGTTTACCTTTTGAAGAGATGCTCCTAGCCATCTAGGCTGGTGTATATATGTAATAACGTCCTGTGAAGCTTCGCTTCTGCCCATATTAGTTTTAATTAGGGTTAATCGGATTCATGTCATTATAATTTTGACGTTCGGAGAAACGCCATTACTATTCGTCTATTTTGAAGCATATCATTACGATTCTTTGTTTGCCACAAAAATGCCACTGAATATGTATGGACATAGTCTGGGCCCAGCTACAGGCGTATACAAAGACATATACTTTATCTCCCGTGTCATTGACACACGGGCCCCACCTGTCATCTTCTTCCTCTCATCTCTCTCTTGATGGGCGCATCGAAGGGGTGTGGGTGAGAGCTGCCATTGGAGTGTGCTTGACGGGAGGAGTGGAGGGATGGGGGCGACTGGAGGAGGAGGCTGCTGCTCGCCCGCGTGGTCTCGGCGGCTGCTGCGCGCGTGGCCATGGCGGGGCGGAGCTTCTCCGCCTCGAGCCTCGACGCGGCCATGGCGAGCGGAGCTGCTGCGCGGCCATGGTGGGTGGAGCTCGCACGCAGCTATGGCGGGCCGAAGCTCCCGCGCCTCGAGCTCCGCTGGCGCCACTAGGAATGGGCAAGCAGCAGTAGCTCGTGGAGCCCCATGACGACTTGACGAGGCAGAGCTTCTTCTCGCGGTGGCCGGAGCTAGAGGCGGGCGTGCCATCGTCCCCGTCCGCGGAGCCGACGCTCCGGCGGTTGGAGCTTCACCCCTGGTGCTGCTGCTACTGCTGCTCTAGGCAGAGGAGCTCTCGCCCGCCAGCTCCGCCTGCCATGGCGTGCGCCATGGCCGCTTGGGAGCTCGCGCTGCTGCTGCTCGCGGGCTGCCGGCGTGCTGCTGCTGCTGCTCGCCGTGGCCGTGGTCGCGTCGGGATGGAGAGAGAGAGAGAGGAGGAAGAAGAAGATGCCATGTGGGGCCCGCGTGTCAGTGACAGGGTGATGAAGTATACGTCTTCGTATACGTCTGCAGCTGGGCCCAGGCTGTGTCTATACGTATTCAGTGGCATTTTTGTGAGAAACGAAGAATTGTAATGACATGCTTCAAAATAGACTAATAGTAATGGCGTTTCTCTAAATGTCATAGAATTATAATGGCATGAATCCAATTACCCCTTTTAATTAACATAGTCACTTTGTATGAAGAGGCAATGATTCTACTAGTCGAGGCAATGTACCGCATTTACCTAGCTACCTGCATATAGTCATCATTCATGCAGCAAATGTTTTTCATTCTCCCTATCTTAGTTTGTCGTCCTACTGCACACATTAACGGATTCTTACATATGAAGCCGAAAGTGAAGAACATCCTTAAGAACACAAGAAATATTTAGTATATATTTCAGTAGGGGCTCCTGAGCCCCTTCTGTTCCCTCAAAAAAAAATATTTTATAGAAAAACCTTGGGGTTTCCACGTTTCTGGAGGCTTGTGTGAGGTCAGACATGCATGCTCATTATAATTTGGGTTTCTATGTTGAGTTGATAACTTAGGAGAGTCTAATGAACTTATGGTCTGCTTGTTTGAGTTGTATCTTTTGAGCTTTTCGCTTAAAAGCTGACTTTCTAGCTTTTAGGTTTTGTTATTGGTTTTGTAATAAACTTTTAGCTTCTCAGCACAAAAAAGTTACAAAAGCTTCTGTTAGCATGTTTTTCAGTTTTAGTTTATCTTCTCCAAATCCATCTTTTCAAAAGCCAACTCAATAGATGTGCTATTTGTTTCAGCTTTTGGCTTCTGAAGCCAGCAAAAAGCTGGAAAAAAAAGAGCTAGACCCTGTTTGGTACATGTTCTCTAGGAAGCACTTATCAGAGAAGATGCACTAGTAGAGTAAGAGCAAGCTTAAAATAAGCATGTCTGATCTAGCTTATGTTTATTACTATAAAATGGGGTGGTGGGAATAATCACTATTAATTTTAGCTTATTTTGGCCATAAACACTTATAAGCTGTACCAAATATGTATTTAGTGTACTTGCTTTTTGGTTGAAGCCAAAATCCTATGCGGTGTTTTTGCTCTGTCTAAAAATCTTCTGGTAGGGTCTCAACCAGAACAGCCCCTTAGAGGAGCATTGTAGGAGCAAGGAGGCACCCTTTATTATTTCCCTTTGATAGATGTATTACATGAATTTTTTTCCCAACAAGGTTCCTTCTGAAGCAAGTACCCAGAGTCTTCTCACTCTAAGTCAATTCCATTTCCGCGTTAAGGAAGCTGCCTCCCCAAAGGCACCTGCTCCCTGCTCTACTGTCTACTCCCACCTCCCATTTCCATCTATCCAAGAAGCAGAGGCCGGCAGCGGAGGCGGTGCTCCACCGGCTTCCTCCTCTTCGCTCATCGTCCCACTCTCTCCGGAGGAGGCTGCCGGAGACTCGCCATGGCCGACGCCTCGGGCAATCCTGCCGGTATGCTGCTCAGCCTTGACATCTACCTTACTATTTCTGAAAACACAAAAACAAGCTCGATCGAAACGATAGGCAGTAGCGTGCAGACTACTCTCGTTTCCCTTGTGCGAATCACTTTGATTCTTCACTGGTTTTCTGTGGCTGCAGATGGCCCCTGGGCCTGGAGTACGATCCGCAACAAGTTCAGGCAGTGCCGGCACCGCCGCTGGAAGCAGCACAGCCGCAGCCACAGCAGGATGTTGGCGACCAGGTCGCCAACCACACTCATGTCCATGGCGTTCCTGGTGTGTGTTAAACAGATCCAAACTTTTCTTCTCAAATCTCACACCTAATCCCTCGCTTGGCCTCTTCTTTCAAAGTCCTGTTTGATGCCAGTAGCGTCTGTCTATATGCAGTTTCAAGTGCTCTGTTTGATTCCTTTGATTTGGTATACGAGCAGGATACTATAAAGGCCGCCTTAGCAACACGAACACTGCTGTAGCTCCTCTTTCAGCAACAGCTGCTGTTGCTCCTCCTCCTCCTGCTCCTGCTGTTGAACCTGAAAGGAAGCTGAGCTGGATTGACAAATGGTAAGTAGCACGCAACGTCTGCTTCAATTGATATAGAAAATGGTACCATCTCTAGAGCTCAAGTATACTCACTGACGACGACACTGCTTTGTGTAACCTTAATTATTTGGCAAATTTTGGGCTGGCACACTGGGGAAACGTTGTTTTGGCTGCGGCACACCGCCAACTGCGTTATTGGCTGAGACACATTGCGAATTCAGGTTCCTTTGTTGTAACACACCGCGCGCAGTAAACAATCATTTTCCCTGGTTTTGGACAGAGAACATTAGGTGACTGTACGAGTTTGCCCCTGGCTGAGTCAAGTGGTGCGACCCAACCCAATAAGCCCCACCCGGTCGCTGCCTCATCCCCCACACCGTCTTCTTCTTCCCAAGTCGGTCGTCTTCCTCTCTTCTCTCTCTCGCTCTTGTCCCGTGAAACCCTAGCACTCGATGCACCGACAGGAGGGGAAGATGGCTTCGAGCTCGAAGACAGAGGCTGCCTCGAGCGCGCCATCTTTGGACGCGTTTAGGGATGGCACAAGCAACCTTCCCCTGGTCGATTGCAGCAAGTGTGGAGCTCAGTTGATTGGCCTAGTGTCGAAGCAGGACAAGAGCTTTGGGCAGAGGTTCTACAAGTGTCCTCTAATTAACCATGTAAGTTGGTAGATCTGCAATTTTATCCGCCTATTGATGTAGTTGTATGGCCGATTTCATCTGAGCATTGTTCCTCATCTTCTTTTGTTAGTTCTACATGTGGGAGGACCAATACGTTGAGTACCTCATCGGCAAATCCAAGCTTCCACGATGTTTCTCAAAGATCGGTAGAGGGTCGCCGTCTCTGGGGTTGACTCAAGCCATGGATCCAAGGATGTCCTCTCAGGAGCTGATTCAAGCCATGGAGTCTTTGAAGGAATCAATTGGAGGATGCACTACCCTGTTAGAAAGCACAACCGCATCTATGAAGGATGCACATGCCGCTTTGAAGAAAATTGTTGATGCCAATCAGTCAATAGGGAGCAACATCGACAAGATAGGCGATCGTTTGCTTGTTTTAGGTCTAGCAACTATGTTCATTGTAGTGCTACTTCTCTTGGTGGTGTTAGTGAAGTGAGCATTGATTTGTCAGAGTTAATGTAGGCATCCTGTATGAACTTTTAGTTGATGTCTATCACTTATGTCTCCCTTATGTGTCAATGAATGCTATTGTATGTTCTGATGTTCTAATTTGGTTGTCAATGAAGTGTATGTGTTTTAGTGCATGGCAACTACAAAATAGATCAAGTGCAAGTCAATCTAGTCTTAACATTACAAGCCATCAAGTTTGGCTTCGAGCCAAGTTACATAACAGCGACAAGTCTGAATTTAAGCCTTCAAGTTTGGCTTATAGCCAAGTCACATAACAACGAAAAGTCTGAATTTAGGTCAATTATGGTTGATTACATTACAAAGGCTACAAAAGCATAGTTCTAGAATCACTCAAGAATTGGGGATGACATCTTCAAATTGCGCTTCAAAATGGCTCTCAACATGGTGGACAATGTTCGATTCACAACCTCAGTTTGCCCATCAGTTTGGGGATGACATGTTGTAGAAAACAGCAGCTTGGTCCCCAATTTATTCCACAACGTGCGCTAAAAATGACTCAAGAATTTTGCATCACGATCTGAAGCAATAGTAGAAGACATACCATGCAAGCGAACAATTTCTTGAAAGAAAAGGTCAGCAATATGAACAACATCATCGCTCTTATGACAAGGAATAAAATGTGCCATCTTAGAAAAACGATCAACCACCACAAAAATACTATCCCTCCCCCTCTTAGTCCTTGGCAATCCCAACACAAAATCCATAGATATATCTACCCAAGGCGTAGAAGGAACAGGAAGAGGCATATACAAACCATGTGGGTTCAATCATGACTTAGCTTTTTGACATGTGGCACATCGCGCCACGTACCGCTCCACGTCACGTCTCATCCTAGGCCAAAAGAAGTGTGTGGACAGCACCTCCTCCGTCTTCTTGGCACCAAAATGTCCCATCAATCCGCCTCCATGTGCCTCCTGCAAGAACAAAAGATGAACGGAACCAACTGGAATGCATAGGCGGTTAGCTCTAAACAAAAAACCATCGCTGATGATAAACTTATTCCATGTGCGTCCCTCTCTATAATTAAGCAACACATCCTTAAAATCAGGATCAAGCGCATATTGTTCTTTAATGGATTGAAGACCAAAAATCCGGCAATCAAGTTGAGACAGCAATGTATATCTTCTAGACAAAGCATCAGCAATCACATTATCCTTCCCTTTCTTGTGTTTGATAATATAAGGAAAAGACTCAATAAATTCAACCCATTTAGCATGCCTACGATTCAGATTATTTTGAGAGCGAAGATACTTAAGCGATTCATGATCAGAATGAATAACAAACTCTTTAGGCCACAAATAATGACGCCACGTCTCTAAAGAACGGACAAGTGCATACAATTCTTTATCATACGTGGAATAATTAAGAACAGGACCATGTAATTTTTCACTAAAGTAAGTAACAGGTTTACCATCTTGCATCAAAACACCACCAATGCCAACTCCACTAGCATCACATTCTAGCTCAAAAGTCTTACCAAAATTTGGAAGTTGCAGCAATGGTGCGTGTGTAAGCTTGTCCTTCAAAGTGTCAAAGGACTCCTCATGTGCCTCTCCCCAATGAAACACCACTCCTTTCTTTGTCAACTCATGCAATGGGGCAGCAATGGTGCTGAAATCTTTGACGAAGCGGCGGTAGAATCCTGCAAGACCAAGAAAACTCCTCACCTGTGTGACGGTTTGGGGAACCGGCCAGCTCTTTATGGCTTCAATTTTCATCTCGTCCACCTCTATTCCCTGTGGAGTTACAACATGGCCAAGAAAAGAAACTCGATCCGTGCAAAAGATGCACTTCTCAAGGTTACCAAATAAACGTGCATCACGTAAGGCATTAAAAATAGCACGTAAGTGATTCATATGTTCATCAAAAGACTTGCTGTAAATCAATATATCATCAAAGTAAACTACCACAAAGTGACCAATAAAAACTCTTAAACCTCATTCATTAAGCGCATGAAAGTGCTAGGTGCATTTGTCAAACCAAAAGGCATAACTAACCACTCATACAACCCGAATTTGGTTTTAAATGCAGTTTTCTATTCATCTCCAAGTTTCATTCTAATCTGGTGGTAGCCACTTCGCAAGTCAATCTTAGTGAAAATTATAGAACCACACAACTCATCAAGCATGTCGTCTAGCCTAGGAATAGGATGACGATACCGAATAGTAATATTATTGATGGCTCTACAATCAACACACATACGCCAACTTCTATCTTTCTTAGGAACCAAAAGTATAGGAACGGCACAAGGACTAAGGCTTTCACGTACATACCCGCAGTCCAAAAGGTCTTGGACTTGCCGCTGAATTTCCTTAGTCTCCTTAGGATTGGTTCGATATGCAGCTCGGTTGGGCAAGGTCGCTCCCGGAATCAAATCGATTTGATGCTCTATCCCTCTCATAGGTGGTAGCCCCGGGGGTATCTCATTTGGAAAAAATGTCCTCATACTCCTGCAAAAGGTTAGTGATAAGGGGGAGGTACCGAGATAACAATATCATCAAGTGAAAACATAGCTCGTTTGCATACCAAAGCATAGCAAATATCATCATCAGAAATTTCAGCAAAGTCACATTTTGTTGCAAGCATAACACCACCCTTCAATTTAATCCCCTCGGCCTTAGAAATAGATGTAGACTTATCCTTTTAGGTGGGAAAATAGAATTAGCAACTTGCTGATTTTCAGATTGAACATCATTCAAACTAGTAGCGCGTTCTCTATCAGCTTGTACAATTTGAGCAGGGGTCAAAGGTACCAAAGTAATTTTCTTTCCTTTATGCACAAAAGTGTATTTATTACTTCTACCATGGTGTGTAGCATCATTATCATGTTCCCAAGGATGACCCAATAAAAGTGAACAAGCTTGCATAGGTACCACATCACAATCAACAGAATCGAAAGATAAGAACCAATGAAAATAAAACTCATGAAGTTTTTGTGTTACCTTTGCTTTACCGAGAATCATTTAGCCACTTGAATATGATATGGGCGTGGGTGTGGGCGTGTGGTCAAGCTAAGCTTCTTGACCAAATCAAAACTCACCAAATTGTTGCAGCTTACCTCCATCAATAATGACACGTGCTCTCGACGGTCGGTGATGATGACGAAGAAAATCTAGAACAAGTTATGGCATTGTAGCTTCTCCGGTTCTTTGGACTTGTGAAATTTGAGCACCATTGCACAATAATGCTCCTATAGGACGTCGTGGCCTCGTCGCCAAGGACTTCGCCGTCCTCCTCATCTGCATCTTGGTCTTCATCCTCAATGTCAAAGGTGCTGATGTAACCATCTTCTATAGCAATGTATGCCCGCTGACTTGGGCAGTCCTTCTGCACATGGCCAATGCCATGGTAGCGGTGGCACTGAATACCCGAAGTGCGTCCCGTCGATGCAACGGATGAGGAACTCTTGGTAAGCACCTGCAAAGAATTTTTACCTGAATCTGAAGGTCATGCGGGAGGTGTCTTAGGTGTAGCGGAAACTCCAGAGGCTGTTGGTCGCTTGCTCGCTGGTGGAGGCGTCCGAAAAGTGGTTGGCTTGGTCAGCCCCAAAGATGGTGCCGAGCGTGGGGTGTATGTGCTGGTGCTGACCTTGCTCTTGCCCTGCTGTTCACGCCCCTGTAATTCCTTTTCTGCAAGCATAGCAAACTGAAACAACTAGTTGACAGTGTTAAATTCTTTATAATCAATAATGTCCTGAATGTCACGCCTCAAACCAGAACAAAAATGACAAATGGCATCTTCGTTTCCCTCTACAACACTACAGCGCATCAATCCCTTTTGGAGCTCACCATAGTAATCTTGTATAGATTTATCTCCTTGTTCTAAACGCATCAATTTCTTATGCAAGTCTCTATGATAAGGAGGAACAAAACGATCACGCATAGCTACCTTAAGTTCTTCCCATGTACCAAGTAAAGCATCCTGTGCAGCTAGCTCATTCCACCAAATAATGGCAAAATCCTTAAACTCACTAGTAGCTTGTCTAACTCTATGCTGCTCAGGTACAAGGTGGGCACTAAACTTTTGTTCTACCGTCATCTCCCAATCAAGATATCCCTCAGCATCATAATGACCCAAAAAAGATGGTATTGTGAACTTAATCTTAGCATAAGGATCATCGGGCACATGGTGATTATTACCTTGACGGTGGTGGTGGTGGACACCACCCATACCTATCGTGTTGCGGCGAAGACGTTGTCGTAATCTCTCTTGTCGGATAGCTGCTCGACCTATGTTTCCAGCGGCATCATGCACCATGTCTTGACCATCGGTGTTGCTGCCGGAAACGTCGTTGTTGCCCGCCACAAAGGTTTCCAACTCAGTAACCTTGTCGGTTAGCGTGGAAATTCGCTTGTCCAATCTCTCCATGCTATTGCCAATGTTGAGTTCAATGAGTGCGTCAGTGACGGCCTTCCTGACGGCCTCATTCATCCTTTTTTGGGCATCCTCTACAACAGTTTGTAGTTGCTCTTGGCTGACACACTCGCTGAAACCCTTAGGATTGTTATCTGCAGTCTGTTCACCTTCTGCCATTGGAAACACAAAAACAGGAACAAACAGGTGAAAGTTATCCCTACCAAATGACTATGTGGTTGTAGTGGTGTCACTTTTCACAGCAAGTGGAAGCGTCTTACCAAGCTCTTACCAAGTTCTTACCAACGCAAGCAGTGGGCGGTACAACTGGCGGCTGGTTCGTGATACCTGTGAGGTAGTGGTACCGAGATTGCAAGGCCCTTTGTCTGTACTGATCTGAAGAATTTGTGGAGCTTGGAAGGCAAACAAAGAGTAATATGTATATCTGGCACACAAGTCAGTAATAGAAAGTAATACTGAATTATAGTCCAAAGTACTTGTTCTTGTTGCTGGTCTAAAGTGTTGCAAGTACCAGGTTATGACAAAAGTATGGTGGATAGCAAGGTGATAGGTATGAGAAAAACAAGTATGGTGGATGGAAACAGCAACACA